CCCCCCAGCCCCGTCTCCTTCCTGCCCCTTTTTCCCCCCCTCCGCCTCTTCTTCCCTCTTTTGACCGTTTCCCACTTTTTTTTTTGGTCTTTTTCCCGCGCCAGCCCCGTTTTGACCCATGTCTGACTCTTTTCCTTCATTTATTTTAATTCATTCACAGCTTCCCCCCCCTCCTAGGGCTGCTGGGGGCATCCTGGAAAAGAGGAACGGCCGGATCAACTGCATGCGGATTGTGACTGAGAATTCCCATCAAAAAAGGGAAAAGAGAATTAACCCAACTTTTTACGGAAAAGGTTGTGTTTTCCTTGTGGGAGCCACTCCACCTTCCACCACGTTGCCAGGATCCATCCCAGCTCTTCTACAGAGCGACATCCAGTTTGGGATCAGTGGCTCCCATTTGGAGCTGCCTGACTATCCGCACTGGAATATCCCAAGCCTCAATCCCATTTCCATAAGAGAAACTCCGCTCATTCCCTCACCACAGAACCAAGACATCGGGAACTTCCCATTCCATCCACAGAGTCGACACAGGTGCTCCCAGAGGAGCCAGGATGTTTTGGGAAGCGACCACCTGGAAAAGCCTTTGGAGAAGCGATCCGGAGCGCAGGCCGGGCTGCTCCGTGGGCCTTCGGGATCCACCCACCGAGGTTTCCGGACCAGCCACAAAACTCACCGACAGCTCCAACACATTCCCATTGCTTGCTCCGGTCCAAAATGCTGCAGAGCTTCTCCCTGAGATGCTCTGGAGCAGCCAAGAAAACCTGGAATGAGAAAATCCCTTTGCTCATGCTGGAATTCGCTTGTGCTTACGGGGCTGGAGGCAGCACAACAGACTAGCACTGTATCCCAATGGAATTGCCACCTTCCGGGGTGGAAAAGTGGCCTGCAGGTGCTGGGGGGATCCATCCTGGAGCCGTGCAGATCCTCCCTGCAATGGACATGGTTATGGAGGCACCCAGCAGAAAAGTGGGAAAAACGGAGGGAAAAGTCAGGATTATCACAGAAAAAAAAGGAGCCAATCAAAAGCAGAACCCCCCAGGGAGCAGCTCCATGGGATGCTCCAAAATGGAGCAAAAATGGGAAGGGGGGACTAAACCTCCTTTATTAATTATCAATTGGATGTGCATGGGGCCCAAGATTCCAAACATCCATGCTGTCTTCCCATTTTTTCCAGGTGCCAAGCACATGTGGCCCCAAAATCCCCAAGTGACTTTCCAAATGCGCCACTTTCCCCTAAAATCAACCTGTAATTTTTTTTCCTCCCTTTTTTTTTGGGACAAGTGTCCCCCCCTCCGCCCCCCATGTGGAAACGGATGCCAAGCGGCTGCTTCCCTGTTCTCCCGGCCGAGATCCGGCTGCTCCTCGTGCCGGTGGGCGCGAGCTCCGAGCGGAGCCCCATTGGCTCGCGGTGACGTAACGGGCTCCGGAGCGGAGCCATAAACCTCCGCGGGGCCCCCAGGAAAAAGGGGGAAAAGAGGGAAAAGTCCCAGAAAGGCGAAGAACGGCAGCTTGGAAGCTGGAACGACATCCTGGTGGGAGGGAATCCCGCCCGGAGCAGCCTTTAATCCACAGCAGCAGGAGGAATCAGGCTGATCCTTTGCAGCTGTTGGGATGCAGTGTTTCTTTTTTTTTTTTTTTCCTGAAGAAAAAATAAAACCTGTTTTGGGGGGGTTTCCCAACCCCAAAACGCCGCCCTTCCCGGATCCCCCGCGCTTCCGTGCCGGCTGCTGAGCTCATCAGTCGGAAACACTCGGAGACACCACGGAGCGACCTCTGGCTCTTAGAAAGCGCTACGAGGAACCTCCCAAAAAGGCCTTTTTTAAAAAAAAACAAAACATTTTTTTCCTTTTTATAGCAAATTTGGGCGGGCAGCTTCCTTCGGGAAAACCTCCGAGCTATAAATAGAGCTCGAAGCGGCCGTAATTGCAGGGCGGCGGCAGCGCTCCGGACCCCATTCCCGCTCCAAGGCCGCTCGCTCCAGCGGCACCTCCGCTGAAAATAAATCCCGGGTTAGGGATGAATTCCCAAGTGCCTGGAAATCCCCCCAAAATGGAGCGGCCGGGAAGGCGCTTCCCTGCTCCAGGAACGTAGGAATTCAGCCGTTTCGATGGATGGGAACGTGCTCTCACGCTCCAGCCGCTTCCTTCTCCCATCCCGGCAGCTCTCCTGGTCGGATCCTCACGGCCACAAGTCCCTTTGCATCCACCAGGGTTTATCCGGCCTTTTTCCTTACATTTTATTGGGACAAAAGGCAGATTTATCCTTTAAAAGTGACACGAGTCTTCCTTTTCCATACGGGAAGGCAAATGTGGGCTCCAAAAGCAGCAAACTTTTCCCAAATTTCCCGGGAATGGTGGCTCCTCCTGTCTCTCATCGCTCCAGGGTTTTAATAGCGGGGAGCAGAGTCATCCCTGGAGCAAGCAGAGCTGCTGGAATAACGGAGCGGCCTAAGAAGGGGCATCCAGAGGTGCTTCCATGTTGCTGGAATAACTCTGAGCTCTGGGAACGCTGGCACCAGGAATCAGAGCTGATCTGGATGTGCCTGATCCACTGAGTGATCCCATGGGAATTCCAGCACCGGGAATCAGAGCCCCTGGGGGCTCCTTCTCAGCCTTTCCGAACCGTCTCCGCAGGCCCTTCCCGGCGGATGAGCCAGCCTCCATCCTGGCTGTACATCCCTATATCCCGGCTGTAATCCCTACATCCCAGCTGTGCATCCATGTCCCTGGGGCACCGAGCTGGCCC